CAATAGCTGCCACTACATGGGGTGGGTGGGGTAGGGGCACAAGGAACGTTTTGTGGAGTCCAGAAATAAATGAAGAACTGCCCATCCTGGGTCGCCACAGCAACTGTGACATCATCCTGAAACCCATGCGGTTGGCACGGTGGGTGGCTTTTATGGTGTTTGTTAAAGGGCCAGAAGGAGAGAGGACAGCCAGGCCTCGCCTGGTAACCGCGTGAGACGGGCCTTAGCTCCATCCCAGCCCAGCCAACCAGCAGGTGTCGATTGGCACGGTTCCCTGCGGGCTTTGGGGCAGAATCTGTCCTAATTAACGCTGTGTGTGCCTGCGTTCGTGTCTCCAGGGCTGCCGTAACAAGTGAGCACACGCTCTTCGTGGCTCGAAACGCAGAAGTTTGTTCTCTGCCAGTTCTGCAGGGCAGAAGCTTAAGGTGCAGGCAGGGTCGGCTTCCTCGGAGGCTCAGAGGGAGGGTCCGCTCCGGGCTGTCTCCCAGCCTCTGGTGGCTGCCGACCACCCTGGGCGTCCTTGGCTTGTGCAAGTCACCCCAACCTCTGCCTCCATCGTCATGTGGCCTCTGTGCGCTGTGTCTCCCCTCTTCTTATGAGGACCCCAGTTCTACTGGATCAGGCCCCCCACCACAGTGAGACCTTGTCTTCATGAATTACACCTGCAACAACTCCGTGTCCACATGAGGTCACATGCTCGGGTTCTGGGGCTGCGGACTCCAGCATCAGAGGTTTTACAGGACACATCTGACTTGTAACAGTATTTCTGTGGTCAATACATATTATTTAATAAGCCAGTCGTGGCCACGGACAACTTCCTCCTGGGCCACCTGTGAGGAAGCTGAGCTGATGGCTGGTTGGTTTGGTCTCCTGGGGAGGCTATACTTTTGTGGGCTCCCCACTTCCAGGGTTGGGTCCCCCATCTTCTCTGTGACCGTAAGCCCAACGTTTAATCTGCTCCTGCACAGTGCTTGGACCTGCATCTGTCCTTCCTCTGAGCTCCAAGAGCACCTGGTAGGTGCTCAGCAAATTTTCCCTGGCAGGGCATAGAGCATGCTCAACAAACTTTCAGAACTGTACTACCATGGTGCCAGCATGCAGAAGGCGCTCAGTAAGTGCTCCGCGCGCTGCACTGCCGTGGACCAGCATGCAGAAGGCGCTCAGTAAGTGCTCCGCGCGCTGCACTGCCGTGGACCAGCATGCGGAAGGCGCTCAGTAAGTGCTCTGTGCACTGCACTGGCGTGGACCAGCATGCAGAAGGCGCTCAGTAAGTGCTCTGTGCACTGCACTGGCGTGGACCAGCATGCAGAAGGCGCTCAGTAAGTGCTCCGTGCACTGCACTGGCGTGGACCAGCATGCAGAAGGTGCTCTGTAAGTGCTCCGTGCACTGCACTGGCGTGGACCAGCGTACAGAAGGTGCTCTGTAAGTGCTCCGCGCACTGCACTGGCGTGGACCAGCATGCAGAAGGCACTCAGTAAGTGCTCCGCGCACTGCACTGGCGTGGACCAGCGTACGGAAGGTGCTCAGTAAGTGCTCCATGCACTGCACTGGCGTGGACCAGCATGCAGAAGGCGCTCAGTAAGTGCTCTGTGCACTGCACTGGTGTGGACCCAGCATGCAGAAGGCGCTCAGTAAGTGCTCCGCGCACTGTACTGGTGTGGACCCAGCATGCAGAAGGCGCTCAGTAAGTGCTCCGTGCACTGCACTGGCGTGGACCAGCATGCAGAAGGTGCTCTGTAAGTGCTCCGCGCACTGTACTGGTGTGGACCCAGCATGCAGAAGGCGCTCAGTAAGTGCTCCGTGCACTGCACTGGCGTGGACCAGCGTACGGAAGGTGCTCTGTAAGTGCTCCGCGCACTGTACTGGCGTGGACCAGCATGCAGAAGGCGCTCAGTAAGTGCTCCGCGCACTGCACTGGCGTGGACCAGCATGCAGAAGGCACTCAGTAAGTGCTCCGTGCACTGCACTGGCGTGGACCAGCGTACGGAAGGTGCTCTGTAAGTGCTCCGCGCACTGCACTGGCGTGGACCAGCATGCAGAAGGCGCTCAGTAAGTGCTCCGCGCACTGTACTGGTGTGGACCCAGCATGCAGAAGGCGCTCAGTAAGTGCTCCGCGCACTGCACTGGCGTGGACCAGCGTACAAAAGGCGCTCAGTAAGTGCTCCGTGCACTGCACTGGCGTGGACCAGCATGCAGAAGGCACTCAGTAAGTGCTCCGTGCACTGCACTGGCGTGGACCAGCATGCAGAAGGCACTCAGTAAGTGCTCCGTGCACTGCACTGGCGTGGACCAGCATGCAGAAGGCACTCAGTAAGTGCTCCGCGCACTGCACTGGCGTGGACCAGCATGCAGAAGGCGCTCAGTAAGTGCTCCGCGCACTGCACTGGTGTGGACCCAGCATGCAGAAGGCGCTCAGTAAGTGCTCCGCGCACTGCACTGGCGTGGACCAGCATGCAGAAGGCGCTCAGTAAGTGCTCCGCGCACTGTACTGGTGTGGACCCAGCATGCAGAAGGCGCTCAGTAAGTGCTCCGCGCACTGCACTGGCGTGGACCAGCATGCAGAAGGCGCTCAGTAAGTGCTCCGCGCACTGTACTGGTGTGGACCCAGCATGCAGAAGGCGCTCAGTAAGTGCTCCGCGCACTGCACTGGCGTGGACCCAGCATGCAGAAGGCACTCAGTAAGTGCTCCGCGCACTGCACTGGTGTGGACCCAGCATGCAGAAGGCGCTCAGTAAGTGCTCCGTGCACTGCACTGGCGTGGACCCAGCATGCAGAAGGCACTCAGTAAGTGCTCCGCGCACTGCACTGGCGTGGACCAGCGTACGGAAGGCGCTCAGTAAGTGCTCCGCGCACTCCACTGGCGTGGACCAGCGTACGGAAGGCGCTCAGTAAGTGCTCCGCGCACTGCACTGGCGTGGACCCAGCATGCAGAAGGCACTCAGTAAGTGCTCCGCGCACTGCACTGGTGTGGACCCAGCATGCAGAAGGCGCTCAGTAAGTGCTCTGTGCACTGCACTGGCGTGGACCCAGCATGCAGAAGGCACTCAGTAAGTGCTCCGCGCACTGCACTGGCGTGGACCAGCGTACGGAAGGCGCTCAGTAAGTGCTCCGCGCACTCCACTGGCGTGGACCAGCGTACGGAAGGCGCTCAGTAAGTGCTCTGTGCACTGCATTGGTGTGGACCAGCGTACGGAAGGCGCTCAGTAAGTGCTCTGTGCACTGCACTGGCGTGGACCAGTGTACGGAAGGCGCTCAGTAAGTGCTCTGTGCACTGCACTGGCGTGGACCAGCGTACGGAAGGCGCTCAGTAAGTGCTCTGTGCACTGCACTGGTGTGGACCAGCGTACGGAAGGCGCTCAGTAAGTGCTCTGTGCACTGCACTGGCGTGGACCAGCGTACGGAAGGCGCTCAGTAAGTGCTCTGCGCACTGCACTGGTGTGGACCAGCGTACGGAAGGCACTCAGTAAGTGCTCTGTGCACTGCACTGGTGTGGACCCAGCATGCAGAAGGCACTCAGTAAGTGCTCCGTGCACTGCACTGGCGTGGACCCAGCATGCAGAAGGCACTCAGTAAGTGCTCCGCGCACTGCACTGGTGTGGACCCAGCATGCAGAAGGCGCTCAGTAAGTGCTCTGTGCACTGCACTGGCGTGGACCCAGCATGCAGAAGGGGCTCAGTAAGTGCTCCGCGCACTGCACTGGTGTGTACCCAGCATGCAGAAGGCGCTCAGTAAGTGCTCCGCGCACTGCACTGACGTGGACCAGCATACGGAAGGCACTCAGTAAGTGCTCCGCGCACTGCACTGGTGTGGACCCAGCATGCAGAAGGCGCTCAGTAAGTGCTCTGTGCACTGCACTGGTGTGGACCCAGCATGCAGAAGGCGCTCAGTAAGTGCTCCGCGCACTGCACTGGCGTGGACCAGCGTACGGAAGGCACTCAGTAAGTGCTCTGTGCACTGCACTGGTGTGGACCCAGCATGCAGAAGGCGCTCAGTAAGTGCTCCGCGCACTGCACTGGCGTGGACCAGCATGCAGAAGGCGCTCAGTAAGTGCTCCGTGCACTGCACTGGCGTGGACCAGCATGCAGAAGGCGCTCAGTAAGTGCTCCGTGCACTGCACTGGCGTGGACCCAGCATGCAGAAGCTGCTCAGTAAGTGCTCTGTGCACTGCACTGGTGTGGACCCAGCATGCAGAAGGCGCTCAGTAAGTGCTCCGTGCACTGCACTGGCGTGGACCAGCATGCAGAAGGCGCTCAGTAAGTGCTCCGCGCACTGCACTGGCGTGGACCAGCGTACGGAAGGCGCTCAGTAAGTGCTCCGTGCACTGCACTGGCGTGGACCAGCATACGGAAGGCGCTCAGTAAGTGCTCTGTGCACTGCACTGGTGTGGACCCAGCATGCAGAAGGCGCTCAGTAAGTGCTCCGTGCTGCTATGTATGCATCGAGCCCTTTGTTCTGAGCTATGCACTAATTTCTCATTTTTGTGGGTCTTCATAGCAATGGTTGGGATCTTGGGAAAATAGTTTTTGGTGTTTCAGTTCCCATTGATGGGAAGTTCGGAACCTCTAACCTGTGATGACAAGGTGGAAGGGTGGTCTCCCTGGGGGCAGGTACCCCTGGGAGGGGCGGCAGGGCGGGTGGGGATTGAGCTCTGGCTCCTCCCGGGTGGTGGTCACGCGTGCACATGTACAGACTCATCAAGCCGTACCTTTGGGGAGCTGTACTGTTTGTCAGTTATAGTAAAGAAAATGAAAAACAGGAAATGAAGGGAATGCGGCACCCCGATATTTGGCCAAGTTCTGTAACTTCACTGGGGATTAAGCACAAAAGATTGGGTAGCACAAAAAAATGTATCGGAGAGAGAGGGAGAATGGGAAGGGGAGGCAGGGAGGGTTGGAGGGAGCGGGATCCCTCTCTTCCCACCCACAGGGGTCAGGCCTTCAGGCTGGGGGAGATCTGGGGCTCCCAGCAGAGCTCCCAGGAAGGGCACCTCTCCCTCCAGGTTCATGAACCGCCGGGTCCCCGCCCACAAGAGGTACCAGCCGACGGAGTACGAACATGCGGCCAACTGCGCCACCCATGCTGTGAGTGGACTCCTGGGGGCTGACGGCTGGGGGGACACTCCCAGGTCGGGGTGGGGGGCAGCCTCTTCGTCCTTGGGGAGACTGTCTCCATCCCACAACGATGGCCCCACGTGCCTTCCAGCCCTTGGCAGAGGAACAGCCACTGTGAGCGGCCTCTCTGCTCTGGGACTTCTAAGATTCCTCGCAGGAAATAATGGATCCACCGAGATTTAAAGAATGAGGGGCTTTCCCGTAGACGTGGTGGGGGGACGTGTTCTTCAGAGGGACCGCGCTGGTGACAGTCAGAGGCCCGCGAGCGCCTGGGACCTCGGGCCGGAGGGCAGCGTGGCCAGAGCGGAAGCACCGGCCTGTGCTGTCTGGTGCCCGAGCTGCGCCGGGCTCTCCGGTGGCCCTGGCCAGGTGTGGCTGTTGACACTGGCCTCGAGATCAGTGTGAACAAAACAAAATGAAAAATCTTTTCCTCGGCGGCACAAGTCACCTTTGAAGGGTCACCCCTGCCTCGTGGCTCTCAGACTGGACAGCGCGCTAGGACAGCCCTGCCCTGGGGGAGGCTCTGCTGAATGGTGTGGGTCTGGAGCAAAGGGGGGCTCTGAACCGGCCTGGACCCCGAGCCAGAGGCTGGCCTGCACCTGTCCCCCCGCTTCCAGCTCTGGATCGTCCCCAGCATCCTCGGCAGCTCCGTCCTCTACTTCCTGTCCGACGACGCCTGGGAGGCCATCTCTGCCTGGATCTACGGCCTCGGCCTCTGCGGGCTCTTCGTGGTGTCCACTGTGTTCCACACCATCTCCTGGAGGAAGAGCCACCTCAGGTGCCTGCTGCCCAGCCCACGGGAGCCACAGGCCACGCGGGGGGTCAGGGCCGAGGGCTGAGGCCGCGCAGTGTGCCTTCCGGGGGCTCCGCTGGGGCTGAGTGTGTACCGAGCACTTCCTGTTGGGCCCCCGGTTCTAGCTCCTCCGTCCCCAGAGCAGCCCCGTGCTACCTGCCCGTGGCCCCCGGTTTCCAGGGGAGGGGCTGAGCCCAGAGAGGGGAGGGACTTGGTCAAGGTCCTAGTCCCAAAGTGTTGGGGCTGGGGTTCAAACCCAGGGCTTTCTGCCTCCAGAGCCCGGACGTGAAACCACAAAGCGGGGTCCAGAGGGCCTTTCGGGGCACGCCATTTGATAGTTTTCGCCTCTCTTTCTGGTCACAGAATTTTTTCATCATTGGCAATCTTCTGAAAAGTCCAGTACACAAAACAGAAGTGCAGAGGACAGGAGGGAGGGTCCTCTGTGTCCCCCAGTGAATGGACCCCCAGGTGTCTCCATCAACCCCGAGGGGGCGGGAGCCTGGGCTGAAGGCCTCGGTGTGGGCACTGAGACGGGGACACTGAGGCCCGCGGGTGGCGCTGGATGGAGGCGGGCCAGGGCTGTCCGCCAGCCGGGGTAACGCCGCCCTCCTTGCCCAGGATGGTGGAGCACTGTCTGCACATGGGTGACCGCATGGCCATCTACTTCTTCATAGCGGCCTCCTACGCGCCCTGGTGAGTGCCGTTGGGCCCCGCGGGCGGTTCGTAGTCCTCAGGGTGGCGGACACCACGTGTCCCCGGCTTGGAGCCACGGGAGGGGCGCCGGACCAGCTGCTCCACAGTCGGCTTTCACTCTCTTAGCGACACGGCCGGGACCCCCTTCCACGGCAGCCCCTCGAAGAGCCCTTCCTGGTTCACAGCAGCTGAGCCCTCTCAGCCACTCCGTGGATATTTCTGACATGGGACACCTGTGTCAGTTGCCACAGTGAATGTCCTCGCTGGTGTGTCATCGAGCCCACGCCAGCGCCATATGGGTCTGTTGGCCTGAGACTGCCACGCGGCGACCTCTTTGACCTGCAGAAACGGCAGCCGTTCTGAGACTTACCTAGACATCTGGGTGGCGGGGAGTGGGCCTCGGTAATTGGTGAGCTGTTTTGCCAGGTTGTACCAGGTTAAATTCCCCCAGCAAACCACTCAGGGTTTTCGAAAGTTCTGGAATAAAGGAACCCTAAGCTTCAGGTCGCACGCCGAGGGCGGGGAGCCTGCAGACGCTCTGCAGGGGAACAAGGATCTTTCCCCTGATATTTGTTGACCGTGTCCCGCGTGGCCGGGCAGTGCTGGGGGTCAGGACACTGAGGCTGTCGGTGGATGAGGGTCTGTGGCAGGACGGGGGTGGCATGGAGATGGGCTCCTGTGCACTCAGCCATGGGCGCTCCGAGGAGGCCCTGGCGTGGGGCCTTCCGGAGGGCTTCTTGGAGGAGGTGTGCTTCTGAGGAGAGGGGAGCCATAGAAAGGTTTGTTCCAGTTTTGCCTCGGGAATTTCTACTTTTGGCTCTCCTAAATGGGCCTTCTGTCTCATCCTATCAGCTAATAAATAGGTTTTGTTTGCATATACAAAGACAATGATTTTTTAAACACGTTTGATGGAGGTGTACCATTCCTGGAGTATATGCAGTCACGAGTGTACATCTCAGCAACTTCCCACACCCTGCAGCTAGCACCCAGATGGGGAAACAGCCTCCTCATCCCCCGAACCCCCCTCTCCAGTCACCATCCCCCAGGGGTTCCCCAGGGGTGCCCACAGTCCTGACATCTGTCTTCACGTCACGGTTTTGTCCGACTTTGAACTTCACAGTGATGGAGTCATCATTCTTTCGGATCTTGGTTCTTTCACCAGTGTCTGTGAGGCTCAAGGGTGACCCCCCGCTGGCCCGAGCTCTGGGGGAGCGGAGCGGCACCCATGCTCCTGTGGCAGGTGTTCCCCTACTTTCCAGTGTGGGTGGCTGTGGATCCAGGGCCCTCTGGACCTCCCGGTGCAGCTGGGAGGCTGCGAGGTGTGCACTTAGGAGCGGGTGGGGCTTGGAGGAGGATGCTGACGTGGTTTCAGTTTGTGGACCGAAGGGTTGGTGCTCCGGGACCAGGGAGGTGCGGGGGCAGCTGCACACGGGAGGGGAAGGGCCAGCCTGGCCCCCAGGAGCCCAGGGAGGTCGGCAGGCGCGGGCGGATGGGTGGAAAAGATGTTTATAGAAACTGAGCGGACTGACTGAAGGTGGGGGAGAGACAAGGGGCCCGTGGCAGGGGTCCTGGGAAATGCTGGCCTTCCCCAGAAATTAGTGACCTTTGCGAGTGCTGGGAAATCGGTCCTGCTGTGTCTGTCTGGAGGCATCATCAGACCTGCACAGCCTGGGCTTCCAGAGACTTCTAGAAGTCTAGAAGGTCCTAGGTGAGGGGTGCAGCTTGAGTGGGTCGGCGGGAGGCCACGAGCGTGCCACGAGAGGCTGGAGGCCACCGGAGGGGCTCGGTCCCCCAGTGGCTTCTTGTTGGCCCTGCTCACCAGGCAGCACCGACGGCAGGAGCCAGGAAGCGGCGGGTCTCTGCTGGGACAGGAGTCCAGCTGAGTCTTCTGCTCAGCTGCGGAGACTGTGACGCAGATCTGTCCAGTAGTCCGGAGTCTCCTTCCCTTGCTGATTCAGTGCCTGGGCTTCTGTCCCTTCCCCCGCGGCGATGACGGAGCAGCGGCTCTCTGTCGCCCACTGCTGGTGGCCGAGAATACTGCAGGCTGTAACTCCTGGGACTCGGGGTCTCCCCAGGAACAGGCACAGATGGTCCAGGACTGACAGGCAGCTGGGGTGAGGCCATGGAGGAGGGGTACATGCCACCCAGGTGTGTGAGCTGCTCAGGAGAGTCAGCAGGACTCGGGGGTTGGGTGGACGGGGGATGAGAGCGAGCCCGAGGTTCTTGCTCCGTGGTCACCAGCTTCCCGGTTGGACACCTGGGTGCGTGGTGGAAAGGGGACCTGGGGCAGGCGGTGTAGAGTTATTTCTCGTTGTATTGCTCCGGGTTTCCAGCTGTTTTCTGTAGAGTCTTGAAGGGTCGTAGGGACCACAGAAGGGGGGGCGTCTGGGCTCCCCCATCCCCGCCTCAATCAGAAAAAAAAAATTTTGTTTTGTTTTTATTTTTGACGGATTGGACTTACATTGGCGCTTCGTGCATGAAGGCTTGACTTAAAGAAAGTGTATCGGCAGGCCGAACGGCCGTGGTAGGGCGGGAAAGGTGGGGGTTGCCTCCCTGGCCGGTCCCTGACGCTGGACCAGCGGGGCGAGTGGACCAGTGGGGGGTGTGCACTTCCAAGTCTGCTCCAGCCTGCCGGTGGCTCCCAACAGGCTCCCCGCTTATTGATTTTATTTATTTTTATTGTTTAGAGAGAGAGAAAAAAATTGTTGTTCCACTTATTTATGCATTTATTGGTTGAATCTTGTATGTGCCCTGACCGGGGATCGAACCCGCAACCTTATGGGGGGGACCCTCTAACACACGGAGCTCCCCGCCAGGGCTGTGCTCCCCGTTTAGACTCCTGCTGGTTTCGCACCCCCCACACACACTGGGGCATCCTTTCGGCTATTTTCCGGGAACAGTTGTTCGTGGGGTCAGTCCCTCTTTTAGTCTCTCCACACGCCTTCTCACGAGGCGTGTCGCCTCTGCAGCACAGCAGACAGAGCTTCTTGGGGTCGCTCTTCCTGGGCCGGCTGCCATGCCGGGCGAGGTCCGCGGCCCCTCAGCCTGTGCCCTCGGCTCTCCTCAGGCTGAACCTCCGGGAGCTGGGTCCCTGGGCCTCTCACATGCGTTGGCTGGTCTGGATCATGGCCTCTGGGGGCACTGTCTATGTCTTCTTCTTCCATGAGCGGTAAGCCAGGGCTGGGGAGGGGGGTGTGGGGGGCTCAGGGCTCCAGCAGAGCCTCCTTCCTGCCCCTGGTGATAGGGGACCCCAGGGTGACCCAGAAGCACGAGGGCACAGCTCTGCCCCGCATCCCAGGGTCCAGGCCTGCGGATGGGCCACCGGTTCCGCAGCCCGTAGTGTCAGTTTGGAGCGCGTTTTCAATAGACACTGTGGGTTCCTAGACCCACCGAACGGTGTCACGTGTTAGAGCCTTCCCCAGCAGGGCAGCAGAGAGGGGCAGCCACTAGGCCCCCGGGCTCCATCCTGTGCGTGACATGATGGGGGTAAGCGAGGGGTACCCCAGAACCTCCAGGGACGGCGGCAGGTGTCAGCCGATGCAGCCACTCAGGTCGGCGGAGGGGGGCTGCTTGGGCCCTGTGGGCGAAGGTGCTGAGATCCCGTAGTCATGTCTGCCCCAGCCTTGCTCTGCCTGGAGTCCGCAAGCCTCCAGCATCTTCTCGTGGACGTGGGGCTGGGTCTCGGAGAGGGCGAGAGACCTGCCCAAGGTCACCCAACTCTGCCAGCACCTGTTGGGGTAGCTGGGTGGCATCTGAGCCCAGGGCTGCTCTCGCTCCTGTGGTCAGGGTGTCTCCTCCTGCCCAGGACGGGGAGCTGTTTTGAGCCCAAGGTGGTTTACCTTCCTGCCAGGTACAAGCTCGTGGAGCTGCTGTGCTACGTGGTCATGGGCTTCTTCCCCGCCCTGGTCATCTTTTCAATGGTAAGTCCCGCCCACCGGCATGGGGGGCCCAGACTGACTCCTGAGATTGTCAACTAGAAGCCTCTCCTCTGGCAGAAGGGGAAACTGAGGCCCAGTGTGTCCACATGACCCACCGAAGGAGGCGATGGAATGGGCAGGTTAACCCTGAGGGCCTGTCCTCTCTGAGTCTCGGTTGTCCCATCCGTCAAATGGACACAGTAAACTCAGCCTGCCCATGACCTCCTAGACCAGAGAACAGTATTATTTTATTATTATGACTATTTTTTTAATCCTCACCCAAGGGCATGCTTATTGATTTTAGAGAGAGGGGAAAGGGGGAGGAAGGGGAGAGAGAGAGAAAAACATTGATTAGCTGCCTCCTCCATGAGCCCTGACTGGGGATCGAACCCGTAACCTCGGCATGTGCCCTGACCGGGAATCAAACCTATAACCTTACGGTGTACAGGACAACTCTGCAACCAACTGAGCCACCCAGCCAGGGACAGAGAACTGTATTATTTAAAAATTATTATTATTGGCAGATGTTAAACTTTTATGTTTTTGTTTTTTAATTTTATGGCTTTTACCTTAAGTGTTATGGTTAGGAAGGTCTTCCCTCCCCCAGGTTTGTGTCAATATTTACCTATGTTTTCTCCTGTTTCTTGGGTGGTTACCTTCTCATTTTCACTCTGGCTCCCCACTGTGGTCCCTCTTGTGTATGGCGAGTCCTCCCTTGAGGATCAGCCAGTTATTTCGTCTACCTGCCACTTGAAATGCTCCTTTTGTCATGTTAAATTCACAGACCTGTGTGGGTCTGTTTCTCAGATTCCAGCTTGGCTTCCTCCATGGGCCTGTTTTTATGCTGGGACCAAACCGGTTTACCGATTGTGGTCCTAATCGTATCTGAATTCTTGGCAGCGAAGGCTCATCCCGTGGGTCTCTCCTGCTCACGCTGTCCCTGTGATCTGTGTTCATTTTTACAGGTCAGCTTTTCCCAGGTTTGTTTGTTTATTTTTGTTCATCCTCACTCGGGGATATTCTTTCCATTGATTTTTAGGTAGAGGGAAGGGGGAGGGAGGTACAGGGAGAGAAGGAGAGAGAAAGAGAAACATTGATGTGAGCGAGACACATCAATTGGTTGCCTTCCGCATGACCCCGACCAGAGCTGGGGATCGAACCTGAGACCCTTTGTTCCGTGGGCTGACGCTCTAACCACTGACCCACACCGGCCAGGGCTGTCCAAGTTTATTTTTATTTAAATATGCATATTTACGTTATATCTATTAAATTCTATAACATCTATCAAATTACATATTATAGATTTAAATACACACTACAGTATAGTAAACATATATCTAAATACATCCTCACTGCAAAAATAAGTCCCGCCTAAAAATGTATGAGAGAGCAGCAGTCCCCTCCCCCCACCCTGTCCGATGCCCGTTGTTTTTGTCTGTTTTTCCCATTTTTAAATTTATATGCAAGTCAGTGTGGACATGCAGACATAGTGACTTGTTGGTTTTTCCTTTATAAAGATGAAATCACACTATACATGCCCTCTGGCAACATACTTTTCTCGGTTTGCATGATGCTGTGACTGTCACTTCTAGTAATGCCTGCCCCGTGAAGGTGGCATGAGGTGGCTCCTGTAAAGTCCTCGATGCAGTGCTGGGCACATGGGCAGTGCCAACAAGTGTTGGGAGTTAGTCCTCTTATTACTACTAACTCCTATTCCGGTACCGTCCTCTCAAGGGCCGAGGGAATACATTCTTGAGCATCTGTGCAGTGAAATGCTGTGCGGCCGCTCGGAGCACCCGGGTGGCTGTCCCTCTGGGAACGTACACTGAGCTCCCACAGGCCACCTAGAAGACACATTTGCAGAAGGCAGGGACAGCGGGCGCTCCCTGGTCTGCAGCGGTGCGTTCCAGGGACACACGCTCGTCTGTGGAGTGCACTCTGTATACTGTGCGTGCAGAGGCTGTCCCCAGAAGGACCCTGCGCACCCTGTTAATGGTGGTTACCTGCACGGCGTGGGCCCAGGAGGTGGGGGCCAGCTCGGCGGGTTCCCCCCACGCAGCTCCCCTCCACTTTGCTTGTGTCCCTTTAATTCAGGTGTCCAGGAGGCTCTTCTCTGAGGGCCAGGACTACTTCCTTTTCTTTGCTACTTTTTGTTTGTCTTCTCTAAAATTATGATCAACTATACGTATGTTTATGATTTTAACCTTTTTTAAAAATCCTCACTTGAGGATATTTTTCCATTTATAGGACAGAGTGGGAAGGAGGGAGAGAGAGAGAAACATCGATGTGAGAGGGACACACCAATTGGTTGCCTCCCGCATGACCCTGACAGGGGCTGGGAACCAAACCGCTACTCAGGTACGTGCCCTTGACTGGAATTGAGTCCACGGTTCTTTGGTCCCTGGGCCAATGCTCTAACCGCTGAGCAAAACCAGCCAGGGCCGATTTTAACCATTTGTTAAATTAAAAATTTTTTTTCCCCTTTATTAATTTTAGAGAGAGAGGACATGAGAGGGAGAGATAGAAATGTCGATGAGCCCTGGCCAGTTTGGCTCAGCAGTTGGAACATTGGCCTGCGGACCAGAGTCCCGGGTTCAGTTCCCACTAAGGGCACGTACCAAAAACAAACACACGAAAAACACAAAAAAAGAAACGTCGATGAAAGAGAACATTAATCGGCTGCCTCCTGCATGGCCCCTGCTGGGGATCGGGCCCACAACCTGGGCATGTGCCCTGACCAGGAATGGAACCGGAGACCCCTTGGTGCCTGGGTCGATGCTCAACCACTGAGCCACCGGCTGGACTGATTTTACCCATTTTTAAGTGTGCAGTTCAGTGGCATTAAGTACATTCATGTGCAGCCATTGCCACTGTCATCCTCCCAAACTGAAACTCGGTCCCCAGGAAACACTCAGTCCCCGCGCCCCTCCCCCGGCCCCTGCTAATCGCTACTGTCCCTTCAGTCTATGAATTTGGCTCCTCTGGGGAATCACACGGGGTTTGTCCACTTGTTTCCGGCTTATTTCACTGAGGGTCCTGTGCTCAAGGTCCCCCCGTGGCCGCCTGCACCGGAATTGTCTTCCTCTAAGGGCCGAATAACATTCCAGTGTGCGAAATGACACGAATAACGTCTGTCCGCCCCTTCCTCTGCCCACGGACACGGGTGGCTTCCCCTGTGGGCTGTGGCGAGTGTGCCACGGTGACCGGGACGCCGTATCTGTTTTACTCTCTGTGTCCACTTCCTTTGGGTTTAGAGCCAGACGCATTCCTTTTGAGAAAAGATCAAAAGCTACAGAGATTTTGATGGGGGCCCATTACCTGTGAGGATTAACTGGGGAAGGGGCAACCGCACGGGGTGACACCACCCGGGGACCTGGTCTTGCAGTGTTCGGGGAGCGGGGGGATGGCCGGGAGCTCCTGACCTGGCTGGCTGCTCCTCTGACCTGCGCCCCACCCTTGTCCTTGCCGACAGCCCAATACCGAGGGCATCTGGGAGCTGGTGACCGGAGGGGCTTTCTACTGCCTGGGCACTGTGTTCTTCAAGAGTGACGGGAGGATCCCCTTTGCCCACGCCATCTGGCATCTCTTTGTGGCTTTTGGTGCTGGCACCCACTACTATGCCATCTGGAGGTACCTCTATCTGCCCAGCACCCTGCAGGCCAAGGTGTCCAAATGAGGTGGCCCAGACTGCATCACGGGAAGCGTTTCTGCGAACGGCGGCCCGGAGCACCGTGCCCAGGCCCGGCCGCCCTCCCACGGGCAGAGCTCTTGCGGGGCCTGAGGTGACTTCTGGGGGCAGCCACACGGTCCCTCGGGTCCCGAGTGAGAAGCAAGCCGTTAGTCATTGTTCAGAGGAGCAGTGAACCCTGTCATGTTTCTACTCTAGACGAGCGTCTCCTGATACAGTGGACATCACCACCTCGGGGAGGGGTGGGCGCTGCCCTGCAGAGCGGGCAGCCATGGGCCAGTACATGCTTCTTCCACTCCCGAGACACCGAGCCAGGAGTTCGGCGGGTGGTTTCCACCCGGCAGCCAGGGCCTCCTCTGCTGCCAACGTCCTGGCTGGGAAGGTTCGCCTGTTCAGGCAAAGTCGCCGGTTTGTAGATCAGGGATGGTGGAGACGGAGGACCATGGCAGACATCACCAATCGGCCGCCACACGGGGTGGTGTCAGGATTCCCAGGCTGGTACTCTGGCAGCCACAGACAGTCGGCTTGGCACGCATGATGGCACCCCAACTCCTGGCCCGCCGGTGTGCCTTGTGGTGGGAACGTGACGAGGCCGGTAAATGTCCCTGTGTGTGGGAGTGGGCAGAGGGGGCAGCACCGGACCCCGGGTGCACACGGAGCCGCCCCTGGTCCTCGGGGCAGGGGAGGGGGCAGGGGGGGACACGGAGCTGTTGCTTGGCCATTTCTTCTTGTGCCGAAAAGCCCAGGGACATTCTGAGAGCCGTTCGCCGGAGCTTGCTGGCCTGCTCCGGGCTTTGTGCTGCTCACATTCAGATTCTTGCTCCGTGCCAGTCAGGGACCCGAGAGGTTGCCCCCATGAGCCCAGAAGGAATGTAGACTGAGCTCCCTGGCTAGAGTGTCCACGACACCCTGACCTCCGAGCCCAAGTAGCCCAGCCACAGGCAGCCCGGCAGCGCCAGCCCCTCCTGCGCCTGGCGCACACGTGTACTGGGGAGGCTCTGGGCCCAGCTCCGGGGTCTCAATGGAATCTCAGAATCCCTGGATCAAGGATCTGTGTCACGTCAGACGAGTCTCCGTCTGTTACTCCCAGTGAGGGTCGGGTGGGCAAAGACGGGATGCCTTATGCTTAATTCTGGTACATTCCAGGTTGTTCAGGGCTCTGAGTCCCACGTGTCCATCCAGTGTTCACCTCACACGGTCCACAGACAGGCTGGTCCTAAGTGGGCAGATGCTTGGTCCTCTTACCCAGGTGTGTGTGTGCACGTGTGAGAATGTGCGCATGTGCATGTGCATGTGTGCGTGTGCATGTGTGCGTGTGTGCACCTGTGTGCACCTGTGTGGCTATGCTGGCATTCCCAGCCCCTGGACGCTGCCTCATTTGGTATACCTGCCCTGCAGAGTTCACCACGTATTTCCTCTCAGTTGGGGTCAGGGTTGGGGGAGGCTGGCTGGGAGGGGCTGGTCCTGTTGGGGCAAGGACACTGTACTTGACCTCTGGGCTTCAGACCTGAAGGGGGTGTTCCCAGGATGATGTTTAGGAGGCTTCCCGAAACATGGCACCCTGTCCGGCTGAGATGAAAGGCCAGCCATCCATGGGATCCTGACCTGGGACTTTCCTAGTGGCCTGCTGAGCTCCTCCTCTGATACCTGTACCCCCTCTTCTGGGCACTGCACCTTGCACTTTCCTCAAGCTCCCCCTTTATGCCCTTGAACCTTTTGTGGAGGTGCTGGTTCACCCCTCATTCATCCAGCTCACTCCTATTCATCCTTCAAAGCCCTGCTCAGGAGCATTCTAGGCTATGCACTGAGTGTGTTGGGGGGAGAGGGCTTGGCACTGGAAATTCAGATGCCAGCTCCCTCTTTCTGTCCTCGAGGCTGCCACATGTCAGGACATGCCAACCAAGCAGCTGTTATGCCCTGAGGAACCAGGGTTGGGGCAGGGGGTAGCTGGCAGTGGACTTGCCTGTTTCACATTCTGGGCACTGCCCCTGAGTTAGGCGGGCACTGCGGGGGCAGGACGGGAGCAGGGAGACAGGTTAGAGACGAAGGCGGGGGCCGGTGGGGGCAGGTGGGGGCGGAGGCCCGCTCAGCAGGCTCACACCCCAGCGTCACGCCTCCCGCTGCACACTGTGCGGGTGGACAGGCCTGGAGCTGACCGCTGGCTTTGTTAGTCCCCCGATGGCTGCCTGGGCAAGCCAGAGCTCGCCCAGGGCTGTCCTGAGGGCCAGCGGCGCTCAGCCGGGGGATGGAAATCAACACTGCGGTCTGAGCTGCCTTTCTGCCTTGGTTGGGAAGCGTATGGGTGGTGGGAGCAGGGCTGGCCTTCTCCCCATCGGTCTGGAGCTCAGGTGGGGGTGGGGCGGGGAGAGAGGACCCTAGGGAAGCATGGTGAGGGGTGGGGTGCAGCCCTGGAGACCCGACAGCACCATGACGACGGGCATGCCTGCACAGTGCCATGTGGACTTGTCCATCCTACGCTTTTATTTCAAGCTCTTTGCAATCTTTACTTTAAAAGTCTACATTGAGTGGATATGCCACAATTTATTTAACCATTCTTCCAGTACAGGAGATCTATCTCTCTATTTATCTACCTATGAGGAGACTTTTGGGGCCTACACTTCCCCCCAGATTCCGTGCATTTTCTGGAGGCCACATTAAGAAGTTAGGCGAGACCTGCTTTCTGCCGTCTGTGCCGCTGTCGTGGCTGCCGTCACTGGGTGGGTCACTCCCTACAGCTGGCCCCTGTCCCCTGCCAAAGAGCTGGTCTACTCGGAAGAGTCAGAATAGAGAAGCCAGCACGGGGCGTGAGCTGTGCAGTGGGAGTGGGGTGCCTGCCCCACAGGTGCCCTGTCAGCCGGGCCGATGGGGGAGGGGAGGTGTGGGCCTCTGTGATGACGGGACCTCACCCATCTGGGGCTGCCCCTCTTGTGGGACGTGAGAGGCTGTGCTCGCTGGAGCCGGGAGGTTCATAGTGGGAAAGGGCTAAGTCCCTAAACGGCTGCTGGCGGAGACGGCCTTGGCAGGAGAGTGCACACCGCGGGAATGGCAGAGGCTGCTCAGCGGGACTCAGTTTGGGGAGCTGGTCTCCACGCCAGGTGCGCTTGTCTGAGGCCACCCCTCCTTCTCGGCAGCAGGCGGTGCACTCCCAGCTCGAGCACGTGTGTGCATGCCGCAGTCTCATGTATTTCTCCCGCAAGACCAGCAAGACTGTTTCCATGTTACATGGGAAACTGAGGCTGCGCAGAGAGGCTAGGTGACGTGTCCAAAGTCGTCTGGAGGTGCAGGGCAGGGTCCGGGATCCAGGCCCCGGGTATCACATCCTTCCTCCTTCCGTGGCCCTGGCTGCCCTGCTCCCCGGCAGCTGAGCTCTGGGGCAGAGTGATGGCATCTGCGTAGGGTCCTCCCCGAGTCCTGGTGCTCCTGATGTCAGCGTCCCCGTATCTCGGCGGCGGAATCCCTGAACTCAGTCAGTTTTGCCTGAGACTCGAGAGGTCTGAGGGGAAAATACGTGTTCTCTCTGCGGCCTTTGGGTAGGCCGCCCCAGGGAACTGGCAAGGGCTTGTACCCTCACCCGGGGAAGGACGCTTGTGCCCAAAGCCTCCCGCGGGGCCGGCAGCCCTGAGTCCTGGGCTGGTTTGTCGTGGGGGCTGACTGACCAGGGAGAAGAGATAAAGGGGTATTTAAATACCTTAACAAGGCGATATTTTTCTTTTTTTATCCTTTTCTTTTTTGAGGACATTTTTTCGTTTTTGGTTCAGATAGAGTGGGAGGGAGAGAGAGGAACAGAGAGAGAGAGAAACATCGATGTGAAGGGACACATCGAATGGCTGCCACCCACACGACCCCAACCAGGGCCGGGGACAAACTGCAACCAAGGCACATGCCCTTAGCAGGAACCTAACCTGGGTCTCTCTGGACCGCAGGCCGATGCACTAACCGCTGAGCCAAACCGGCCAGGGCACCAAGGCGATATTTTTCAAAAGGGTTATGGATCTGAATGTAGAGAAGTGGCTGTTTTTGTCCACGGGATACGTTGGGGTGAGGATCTGGGACCCACAGGGCCAGGCACAGCTGTGACTGACGACCTGGGGTCTGCATGGGCTCTCTGCCCAGGTGTCCTCAGCTTGCCAAGCCTGGCTTCGTGGTGGGCTTGTACCCTCGCTGTGGGCGAGGAGGGGAGGGGCCCTGTCCCAGCTGCAGCCCAGCAGCCACCTGGAGAGGGTCACCTGTGCGTCAGGGGATCTGCCTGTCCCTCACGCAGGCCCGGGCTCCAGGTCACAAGTCAGCTGACCTCTGATTATCCCCGGATGCCAGTGTTTTCCAGACCTTTCTGATGAATACCCATCACGGTACACTGTGATTCCAGTTTCTATAGCCATCGTGAGTAGGGCCTGCCGTGCGTGGCCCGGTGAGGGTCGCTCCGCCCTGTCTGCCTGACCCAGCCCCTCGTCAGCCCCCACACTGCTCTGATGACCTCAGTGGGTCTGAGCCCTCCGTCCGGTGACCACTCTCGCCACCCTCCCTGGAAAGCCATGGGCATTGTCCTAGGTGCTCACCGCCTGCTGATTGGAGGGGCCTCCTTCGGAGCCTGGGTACCCACAAGCCATAGGGGACAGTTAAGGGGAAAGGAATTCAAAGCTCCTGAGGATCTGGGAGCTCAGGACCTCGACCCCGCCGACAGGAATACCAGACCAGAGTTTGGGGCCCCTTGTGCTGGTGATGGCCCCGTGCTCCGGGGGCCTCGGGCTGGATGGTCATACTGGATGCCGTGGTGGGCAGCACACGAAGGCCTTCCTGGGGGACCCAGGGCGCTCTGACTGTCTTTCCGACTCACTGTTATACACCTGTCCTGTCCACAGTGCTTGGCATCGGTGGCAGGCGTTTTCAAATGTGTCCTGCTGCCATCGACCTGTGTTTGTGGAATTGCTATTTTGTATCATTAACACAGCCTTTGACGAACATTTCTGTGAAGAGTAATCCTGCCAGGAAATGGTACTGTCTCCAGCGGAGGAGAAAGAACTTCAATAAATAAAAATTCAAGATGCCTCGCTCTGGCCCAGTTGTCTTTTTAAAAATAACGGTTGTCGATTTTTTCCCCGTAAACGCCGTCTCTGCTCATCGCCGGAAACGTGGGACGCTTGGAGAAGCACAGGTAAACGGAAAACGCCGCGACAGCATCCTTGCCGTGTGACAGCTTATCCGGAAGAGCGGTGGCGTCCAGCGGCCGTGCTCACCCATGTCGCCCTGGCGCCTGGCAGCCGGCGTTCGGGGCGATGCAGAGCCAGAGGCTGGAGGACAGGAAGGCCTGTCCACCCACGTGTCTGGTGGCTGATGCTGGCAGCTGGCTAGGATCCTGTTTTAAAGGTAGCTTTGGCCCTGGCCGGGTAGCTCCGTGGGTTAAAGCGTCGCCCTGATACACCAAGGCTGTGAGTTCAATCCCCGGTCAGGGCACATACAAGAATCCACCAACGGCTGCATAAACAAGTGGAACAACCCCTGGCCGGTTTGGCTCAGCGGTTGGAGCGTCGGCCTGCGGACCAGAGAGTCCCGGGTTCGGTTCCCGCTAGAGGCACGTACCAAAAAAC